CATGGCCCTGCTCACCATGCTTGTTGTGGAAGAAGCTGTCTCCAGAGACGTGACTTGTCCTCCATATAGAGGGAAGAGTTGGGGGTCCCTCTGGTACTGCTACAGGCAGCAACCTGCTCACCAGCTCATCCAACTGATTCACCCCGATATCTGATAGACCCAGATCCTTCAGACTCACAATGGGCTGAGTAGAAAAATACCCCAAGACTGTTATCATTGCAAGACTAATACAAAAAAATAATTTTAGGAATTTATAGTCTTTGAAAATGAATCATTGTGTTCACACAACACATTTAGAGTGTTCAATTCACCTCTCTGAGAAATGAACTGTGCTCTGCAGGGAAGTCTTTGTGCAGCACCCTGGCAGAACCTGTGACAGAGTTCTTCAGGGAGTTGAGGGCATTGATGAGCTGGCTGAGAGGCACTATCATCTGCCAGATTGAAAACACAATGAAAAAATCAATAGACTTATGTGGCATAACATTATTACATAACATAATTATTATTATGTTTTGTAATTATGTTGGATCAGGTGCTATTCCACTGATGGATAATTTACAGTTGCAAAAAGAAAAACATTACATACAAGGTCTATTTCAGACAAGAGACAGTTGTGTGAAGTGAACTTTTTGATAATCTTCTTAGTATTATTGAAATAACTTTAAACCCTACTTTCACTACATATATACATGGCTACTATATGACTAAAGTCAGGTCTATTATTAGAGTTTACTCCCTTAAATGTTTTTAATACAGTGTGATGCAATGTGAAGCCACCTAGCATGCCTTGTATGTCATGCTAACATTAGCCGAGCCAAGTTGTCATTGACCCGGAGCACATATGACAAGAACTGACAGAGGTCTTCACTGTTATTACACATTAATAGACTAATAATAAACCTACAGTATTGGTCAGTTTAACAGATTTACAACAAGGTAGCGATGAAATAAAGAGTATCTAGCTGGTACAATTACCTGCTGTGGCTGAAACGACGTCGTAAGTGAAAACATTTTATACTAGATGACGACTGGAAATAAAACAGAAAATATATACAAAGAGGTTTATGTATGTGAACAAACCCCCTGGATTTAGATGACCTAATAAAGTTTTCTCTCCGGAGCAGTGTCCTTCTGTGTTTTCCTCGTTATACAACTTTCGGCAGCTATTAGCTAACAACGACGAGTTGAAATCTGCCGGACGTCACGAAGACTACAAAATGACGTCAGAGGTGTTGCCACCGTGACAGCGTCGTATACGACATAGGTGGGTTTTAAAATTAAGATAAACGCGAAAATAATTCACTGTTGTTCAAAATAAATTGAATTCAATATTAAATATTGATTTCCATAGATAAAACTAAAATAACACTTTTGACAATTATGACGTCGCTGTATCTTTAGGACCCATGTGTTACCCGTGGTGCCTTATCAAAAGTACTTAAAAAATTATATATACCATCACATTTAAAAAATATATATTATACTTTTAATTTTAAACATGGGTGAAATAAACGTTCTCATTTACTTCCAACAGAACGAGAAACACAAATACTTTGCGTACGTGCAATTGACAGGACGCCACGGGACCTTCGGTAGAACGACAGCGGCATTCAAATTTCAAAACAAACTCGAGGGTTTTATTGCTGTTTTGTTTTGGCATGTTGAATGCTTAGGCTGGCTTAGATTTGAACTGGTTAGCTGTTACGATAAACACCCAAATCATCATCCGAAACAAAACGCGCAATGGACGCCGACGAAAAACCTGACTCTGGCACAAATGAGAAAAGTATAGAAGTTCCAAAACCGCCTTCAATTGAGGACTTCGTCGTTTTGAAGCCCATCAGCCGCGGTGCTTTTGGCAAGGTTTACCTCGCACGGAAGAAGTGCAATTCGCGTTTATACGCCATTAAGGTAAGAGTTTTTGGTTTAATCAACACCTTAATATGAACTTTAGCCCCCTTGGTTTGGTTATTTACTCCCTTTTTCTTGTTCAGGTGATGAAGAAAGCAGATATGGTTGATAAAAATATGACAGGGCAGATGAAGGCAGAGAGAGACGCATTGGCTCTGAGCAAAAGTCCATTCGTCGTTCACCTTTTTTACTCACTTCAAACAGCCTCCAAAATCTACCTGGTAACACATAATTAGAAAAATGACTTAGGCCGCGGTTTCCCTAGTGGTCATTGATTCACATTTTCTGTTTCTGCAGGTAATGGAATATCTCATTGGTGGAGATGTCAAATCGCTTCTACACATCTACGGATATTTTGATCAGGATATGTCCCTAAAATATATCTCTGAGGTTGCTCTAGCTTTAGACTACCTTCATCGCCATGGTATCATCCACAGGTACAGGCCAAAATTGTGCACTATTATGTGTTAATATTAAACTATTGCATTTTATCAGACAGTCAGTTATTACATTTACTGACAGTTACTGACTGGTACAGTTGCTACTTGCGTATATGATCCAGTTATTGTCTTGACAATCTGTAAAGAACCTGGTCTCTGCTTTTCCAGGGACTTAAAGCCGGACAACATGCTGATATCCAATGAAGGACATATCAAGCTAACAGACTTTGGCCTTTCTAAAGTCAAGCTTGACAGAGGTATGTAGTTGCATCATCTTGACACCAAACAGATTGTGATCATATTTATCTACCCTGTGGACCTGGTTTATTACATACATATCTACAGACCTACAGTTCCATTAGCATTGGATGAGTGTTTGACCTTTGTTAGTGCTTCTAAATGTCTCTAAGGGTTATGCCACTTCAGGTGATCCACCTTTGACTTGGACTATTTTAAAATCTGGTTAATGTTAAGGACCTGTTCTCACGTAAATAGTTTCAACAATAATACATAAATGGCACTGTGAGTGCTTTATTTAAATCAGATAAAACTATTCTTTTATCTTAATTTTTGGTCTTTTTTCCCATTTATTTTTATCATAAATAATCCTTTAATTCCTCTCTGTGCTTCCACTTTAGAGCTTAGTCTCACGGACATCCTCACCACTCCCTCTTTGGCAAAACCAAACAAAGATTACTTCCGAACACCAGGACAAGTTCTCTCTTTAATCAGCTCCCTTGGTTTTGTGAGTATTTTTTTTAATGTCTTTTCTTATTGTTTGTTTGTAATGTATGTAACTATTTGTCTTTTGTATTTATTACAGAACACCCCTGTTGGGGAGGGCAAGCGTCACTGCAGTGCATCAGCTGTGTCCAGTCCTGTGACCTGTGGCAAAAGAAAACAGAAAAACAATTCTCTTGGTTCTCCGATTATGAAGAGGAAAGATGACACATGCTCTCCAGGACAAAATCCTTGGAGACTCAGTATGTTCCTGATTTCATTTTATACTTTATTTCACTTCATGGACATTACAGTAATTTGGCTTTATTCTTCGTTAATGTTTCTGCCACTCAGTATTTTTTAATTCCATTACAGGACATAACAAAAGTGCATTCAGTCCTCACAAGCTGGCTAAAAATCTGACACCTTCACTGCTGAAGACCAGGAGCAGGTTTGAGACCATAAGTGTGGGGAGCACCATAGACACAGAAGGTGGCATCAGCCCACTGTGGGAGTGTGAGGAGGTCAGTAATAACATAGGATTAATAGCAGCCATTAAAGACAACTTGATAAGCTCACTTTTCAGCAGAGGAAGCTATAATACATTTAAATGATGTGTTTCACTTATTTAACTCGACTAGTAATGATAGGTGTTATGTACATATTAACACTGTAGTGATACATGTAGTATTATAAGTAACAAAGACAAGTATACTATGTAATATTTGTTTTCTCTCCTGTAGAAAGAAAATGAACAGAAAAAGAACAGTAATACTGAAACCCCTGGGCCTAAACAGGAAAACAACACAAAACCTAATTCTCCACAGAAGGATAACATCACCCCATCAGTAAAAGACGGTCATAAAACTGTAAAGAGAAATTTTTCAGATATAGACAGGAGTCCAGACATGTTAGAAACCCAAGCCAAGAAGAGCAACGCAGAGTACAAAAGATGTTTTGAGATTCCGGCGAGCCACACCGGCCTGACGGGAACATTTTCCACCATCCAGTTGGGCAACTTCATGGCGTCCACTCAAGGGACGGGCTTGGATGAAACTCGCCTTCCGAAGCGCTCCAGTCCCATCGACGTGACAAAAACGCTTTTCTGTGAGCTGGAGGAGCCGGCGGAAGACGTCTTTGAAGAAGAATCCAAAAACATCTCACAGTTGAGCTTTACGTCGCCTCTCGCTCAGAGCCTAAATCTGGACTCCGATGGGTCCGTGCATGAAACCTCCCTCACCATCGACAGCAAGGCCTCTTTTAAACTAAACAAGTGCCCCGACATAAAACAGTCACCTGAGCCTCAACAGGATGTCAGAGACTCCATGATGGAATCACTCTCACAAACGCCCTCTGCTGGTAATGCAGCCAAATTAGGATTTTCTGCCCACAGAGTGGGACCTCCCTGTCCTTTCCTCAGCCCACTTCCTGATTTCATCCGTGCTGCACAATCTCCCTCTGACCCCAAGCCCAGGAATGTGGTCGTTTTCCGCAGTTATTGCAGCTCCATCAACCGCTCCAACATGTCGGGGGTTTCCCGTCTGAGCATCGGCTCCGTGGATGCCATGGACACGTCGTCGGCTTCAGCCTTGCATCATTCCCTGTGCCATTCTGTCACGCCAGTGCAGAAAAGAGTCAAGTCCAGCAGTTCTGCCTGCCAGGTATTGACAACAAAACATAGTGGCTCTAACATAAAGAAAATAGAAAAGCTTCTTGAAATCAGTTTGATTACAGTAACTGATTCAAACAAATCTTTAATAAAAAAGACTCAATCAGCACACATTGAGTTTCTGGATGTCTACATTTAACAAGTTTAGTGTTTTTGAGCTCTGGATTATTTATTTTATAATTATTTTTACTTGTTTTATCACTAAAATAAGTCAATAAAATAATCATCAGTTTGAATTTTTTCTTTTCTTTTCTTTTTTAATCTGAAATCAGACACCTCAGCCAATGTCAACGTCCCAGACTCCGTTCAGAACTCCTAAGAGTGTCAGACGAGGCCCCCTGCCTTTGGAAGGGGCCCCTATTCTGGGCACCCCTGACTATTTGGCCCCAGAGCTGCTCCTGGGAAAACCGCACGGTAAGACGCCTGACATCACCAACAGGTGCAACACAATATTTTTATTCCAGCAAACTCTTGGAAATAACACTGGCTGCTTGATGTGTGACCAGCGTTTTCTTGTAGTTTCAGGCATCACTCACTGTGGTGAGTATATAATGAAAGTGTTGTTTATGTGAGGCAGCTTTGCATGTCTCCCCAGCCTGCCAGAATGATTTCCCCTTGGGTTTTTTTCCATCTGTTTCTCCCCTCTTTGGTGAACCAAATGTGGGTCTGATCAGAGGAAAAGAGTTGGCAGGGGTTGGGATTTCTAATGTTTGATTTAAAAAAAAAAGCTGAAAGAAATGGAGTCGTCCTAATTAAAAGCTAACACTACTGTTAACTGCTGTGGGATCAGAGACTTCATCGCTTTTAACTGTGAGGGATTTTTTTTTTCTGCTCGGGGAAAAACCCGTAGATTTGTGGGATGAGAGTTTTTCCTTTAGTGTTTGTGAAAGATTGATTGTTTACTTCAGAGGCAGTTTTAATAATGGTTACTTTTGTTTCAGACACTTGAATTGAATTTGAATTTATTGAATTGAATTTACCCTGAAAAAACATGAGTGGTATTTTTTAGCCCAAGTCTTTCTAAAAAAGGTTCAAGTTAGGTCAAGGAAGAAAAGTCTTGGGTCTTTAGATGTGTCCAGTGAAGAAGCTGTGAACTCCCCACAGTAGAGACACCAGAGCCCAGACTCTGATGGTGTCTCCACCCACTTAATGTGTGAATGAAATGTGGAGAATAAGATGAAGCCAAAGTCCACAAATCACCTTCCTCCCCCTTCAACTAACATCACCCTGCTTCTGCCACTGCAGTAGCTTTAGTCAACGCTCTAATAACAGTCAACTGGGGGAAACTGTGGTGAAAAACTACAGTCGTTAAAGAATATATTTTTGAATATTTTCATACCATAAAATAACTTCTTCTTCGTCTTTTTTTTGTTTTCAACACTGTCCAGACTTCATGGTGGACTGGTGGGCTCTGGGTGTCTGTCTTTTCGAGTTCCTCACTGGCGTTCCGCCATTTAACGACGAGACGCCACAGCTGGTCTTCCAGAACATTCTCAACAGAGGTGTGTTAAATTCAAACAGCTCCATGCCAGGACTTAATTCATGATAAAACACTGACTGGCTGTTTGGCTGGTTTGTCAGATATCCCGTGGCCCGAGGGGGAGGAGGAACTGTCGGAAGATGCCAGAAATGCCATCGAAAGTCTGCTGACGATGGACATGACCAGACGGGCCGGTCTCAAAGGTCAAAACCACTTTGAATTTTAGAAGGACATTTTTTTAACTAACTTGAACTAAATTATCGTCTTATCCCCTGTTAAAGAGGTTTGAAAGGTTTGCAAAAGTGCTTGAAATCCTTGAGTTTTTCCTAATTTAAACGTTAATGACTTACGAATCTGTGCAAAAATACTTACGTCACCCCTTTAGTGTTTCAGAGATCCATCAAAAAGATTTGACTGTCTATAATGGGTTTCAAACTCCCGACCCGCAGGACAGAAGTGGTCCGTGAACCACCCAGGTGTGGTCCGCAACTAGATGTCAGTGCAGGGGTAACAGTGGTCCTGTAACATCTAAATTACCATTGGTATTACATTAACAGTATGATAAAATAATGAAGAGCATTGTAATGAAAATTGTATTTTATTGTATTTTATTTTACTGATTTCACCAGAAACACAAATCTACAATTGGATGAAAATGTTAATTCTGTCTCTCTCTCCGTCCCCCAGAACTGAAGAACCACACCCTGTTCGAGGGCCTGGACTGGGACGACCTGCAGAACCAGCCGATGCCGTTCATACCTCAGCCCGAAGACGAGACGGACACGTCGTACTTTGAGGCCAGAAACCAGGCTCAGCACATCGCAGTGTCAGGCTTCAGTTTATAGAGGTAACACAGACACCACAGTATCAGAGACGGAATCTGGAACATTTACCTTCACTGTAGTATTTACTCAAGTTTCTTCAGCTTCTGACACCAGGCTCATATTTGCTTTTAAATACCTGTGTTTGTGTGTTCATTAATCATCAAATATTTATGTCTGTATATATGTGTAAAAGTCGCACTTTTCTGCATCATCATGCTGATAACTAGTCGTTTTTATTGCACTGCATTTTTTGGACTGAGTGGACGGGGCCTCATGACAAATATTAACTAATTTTAAAAAACTCTATCCCATAATACACTATATTTATGCCAATAATGAGGTTTGCGGTTTTTTATGGCGTTAATGCCACTGAGTGCCGTTTAAGACGGTGTCGTTGCACACTGTGTGACCGTTTTTGCTGCTTTTATGTCTCATTACTGTGTGACCGTTTTTGCTGCTTTTATCTCTTATTTGTTTGTAACTCTGATTTCGTCACGTTACCGGTCTGTGTTTTAAAAAATAATTTTGAGTCTTGTAGAGATTTTTATGGCTTCAAACTCAGAAAAAGGAAAATACAAATAAAATCTGTTTGTAACAAAAAAAAAATCATCTATTTTTTTTTCTGTTGCCTTTTATTGATAATGTTTGAGCAAATACGAATCTGTTAAAGTTATTGTATTTTTGGGTGAACATCGAGCTAATTTTGGGCTAACTTACCCTAACAACATTTTACTTTTATCTACGCAATTTAAAAATTAAAAATTTCTGGTCTAGCGATTAGTCCTCAAACTAAACCTTTATCACAAAAACTTTTTTAGATCTTTTTATGCATCTGGTCTAACTCTAGTTTTTTCTTGGCTAATATTTAGCTGTCTTGCTACATTTTATCAACTAGCCTAAATTTCACCACATCTAAAGCTAATCTTTATTTAATTTGCCATATTGTTTATTTTTACACATTCTCAGATTTCTTTTATTTGAGCTTGGCCTATGTTTGCTAACTTGTTACCTTTTGCTTTTCTTTCGCTATTTCTACCCTTTCTTCTTTGCAGCCGTGCCTAAATCTTTAACAATTTTGCCTAATTTAAGATATTTAAAAGAAGTGCAGAAGCTGTGACTTCTTGATGTAAAACTTTATTGTAGTCTGGGATTATTCCGTGCAGTCTCTGCTCTACCCACAGGCAGAGAGGCTGAGAAAAGCCAGTACAAAGTTAAACTTTTATTTGTTTTATGAAAACATGAAAGCTCTGCAAAAAACACAGCTGCTCCTGCAGATGCCGATCTTTGTAAATATAATAGGATAATTCTTTGTTAATTAACACGTTATAATGCAATTAAAATATTGCATCTGAATCGTCAGAATCGTGCGCAGCTACTTTTCTGCTAATCTCCACAGGTCTGACTGCTCTGCAAACATGTTATGATTGTTATCGGCTCAAAAGATCACCGTTAAATACATCACACACATGAATTACACAACACAAATATACAGGAAAAAAAAACAGACAAAAATGCATTCATGTTTAGATAAATTGATGACATATGAAACTTTCAGGTGCAGGCTCGCCCCCTAGTGGCTCATTATCAAGAAATCAGTTTTGGTCCAGAACTACTGTAGATGGTAATGCCACCAACGATTGTACCCATGATCTAAGCCCCTTTCTCAAAAACAAATATTGGACACTGACATTATGAAGTATAGAAGAGGAGGAGGATCACATGGATTTTTATTTGGACTCCTGACAGTTTGGTTTACCCAGAATTCTGACTTACATTTTTAGACTTCAGTGTTGAAGTTGGGCTCATCTAGTACATATATGTAAATGTATATACTGTATATGTGTATATATATATAAACATTTATATATTTGCAAGTATACTAATTTAAAAGGCACTATATACATAGAGTATGTATTTGTGCATATAGGTCAATATATACATAAATATTTACATATACTTATGTTTATATATATATACATTATAAATTAAATATATACACATTATGTAGAAATGTTTATATATTTACACACACACATATATATTTCCTTTTTTGCAACTGAAATTTAAATGACTTCAAATTCAGCAAAAAAAAAAGAGAACAAATTTCAACTCTAATTCATTTCGAAACCCAAACGTTCTTCCCTGTGATCCTCACGACAGAACACATGGACAATGTTGTGTTAACCTTTAAACAAGAACCAAGTAGATGAGTCTAAACAGAAATCCCTGCTGCTGCAGCTGCTGCAGGTCACGGTCACTCTTTTTCACCCAGGGCTGAAGACAAACAAATATGAAGTGGATTCTCAGAGGATTTACAAACTAGTTCTCACACGTTGATAATATATTATTACATTCAATCGATCCTTAATAAACTACACTTTTATCATTTATGTTTTTAGCAGCATTAACGGGGCGACTAATAAAAAAACAAGGGTTAAAATTTACAACTGCATCAAGCACAATATTCCAGGCCTTTGCGTTCTAGGATTAAAGTACACACACGTACACAGTGTGTGTAGAACCAACGGCCACACATTCGCGTTTCTGGTTTTTATTTCACAGGGACGGAGACACTCACTCCTCACACATCTTCTTCTTCACTTTCTCGGTGCCTTTTTCAGTATCAATAGTGCAAAAGCAAAAATTACCAGGCTGTGTGTCTAAGCGGGCGGGGGGGCAGGTTACAGTAGAAGCAGCTTCAGTTGATTCTCCTGACAGACAGAAGGAGGAATAAGGAGGTTATGAACATGATTTTTTTTTAAATAACACTCTTAGGAATTGTGTGGGAATTGTGTAGGAATACCTTCTCCTGTGCAGGAACAGGCGGAGCAGCCACTGCACCACGAATGGCCACATCACTGCGAAGGCCAGGCTGGCCGGAGAAATGTCAAAGGGCCACCAGGAGGGCTTCTGGGTAAGAAAAAAAAACAACAAAATAATAGATGAGATATTGGTGTTGAGGATTGAACACACGGCTGTAAAATGTCTTTGTGTCGGTGATGGAATCTTTCCTTTAAAGTTTAAACATTTAGTTCCAGTGTTGACCACTTTGAGATAAAAAAATAAATCCACAGTAAAATATAGAACATTTTCTTTGTTATGAGATTCAGCAACTGTGTATTTCTGCAGTATCTGTGTGTACGTTCATGTAATGATTACTTAGAACTTTAAATAAAAATAAATTATAGCCCATAATCCATATTCTTAGTAACTTTTTAAAAAATGTATTTATTTTCATGTCAAAAAAACGCTTAGCTTTGGCTAAACTCTGTGTATTTAGTACACAATGTACTACAGTAACGTTGTTTACCTGACTTTTCTTTTTCACTGGTGGTGTGTACGTAGGCGACAGGGACAGTGATCTTGCCTGGGAAAAAAAAAGAAACATTTCGAAATTGTTTAAAAAAAAAAAAAAAAAAAAAAGTCAAAGTACGTACTGTTTATCTTAACTCTGTTTGAGCTTCATCTAGACACAAATGTCATAACCGAGGTTAATGTTCAAACTGCTCACTTTAATCTGTTCATGACGATGACTGTCACATTTCTAATCTGACACTGAGCAACATCATTATTATGATTTTATATAACAAAGATATATATCATATTATAGATATTTTATCTTTCGTTTCTGTTCCTTCAAAGTAAAACGTCATCATTAACGTCTGACCTGACTGGCAGACAGCGCCTCCAGTGTGTGCAGCCTCTCCAGGACACTCTGCATGTCCTCCTGTAGCCTCGCCAGCGCCACCACTATCTGCTCATTCAGGCTTCCTCCAGGAGGAACCAGTCCTCTGCCACGACCCTGGTCCCCGTCTTCACCGCTGTGCAGTGGCATCAGAGCTCCGGGGCCAGGAACCTGAGACCTGGAGCCTAACGCAGACAGACTGTTCAGCCTGGAAAACTTGACCAAAAAAAAAATCAACTTGAAAATTTCCAAACCGACCTCTCCCTCCTCTGATGTTCTGAACATTTCCATGCAGCCTCTGTCTCTGCGGCGCTGTCCCACTGCTGTCTCCATCCTCTCCTCCACACTTGATCATCTTCAGAGGACCGTGAACGTCAGCCTGGATTCTTTGTGCCGTCTCTGGAGGCTGTAGCCCCTGGGGCTCCTCTTCGTCCAGGTCTTCCAGAGAGCGGTTAAGGTCCGGACTCTGGAGGGAATCGACATTTGACATCCAAAGGTGATTATTCTCCTCCCTGGAACCCTCCTGTCTGGAGTTAATTGCAATGCTAACAACCCACCTCGTCCTGTCCAAACTGGTCGACAGAATCGCAGTAGACTTCACTGTCGGAGTCACTGGCGACGTGGTTGGAACCTGGTACGTCACCAACGAGATCTGAGTTAAGGATGAAGAAATGCGAAGGTGAAGAACGCAAAGTTCAAATGTTTCACGGAACAGTAGGAGAGTCTAACTGAGAAGAACGTCCTCAAAAGTTGATTCTCTCACCTGCATGGTGACCATTGAGGAGATGCTCGCCAACCAAACCCTCCACAGAGTAGTCACTGTTCAGAGCGACCTTAGAATGACCCCCGTTGGTCATGTGGTTGACCCCGTTTGTCATTTTACCATTGGATAGAGGGACTTTGTGTCTCCTCTTCTTTGGCTGCAAAGCTGAAGAAAAAAAACCCCAACAAGTCAGCTTCAGGTCTACTCTTTGTCTACTTCACAGAGAGGACGCTTGTCCAATACCTTTCCTGTCCTCCCTCAGTTCTACGTCCTCTTCCTCCTCCTTAACCTCTCCTTCTTCTGCCTCATCCTCGTCCTCCTCTTCTTCCTCCGAAGTCTCCTTCACATCCTTCACTCTGAGCCGGTCAGGCTGAGTCCTCAGGCTCCCGTTCATTTCCATACTTCTGACGATGCTCTTTGTGACGCTCATGGAATCCATCGTGGTACCAAACCCTGTGGAACGAGGAGCTACTTCATGTTCTGTATTTCAGACCGAACTCTGTGTGTTGGCCCGCGACGGTCAACACCACTCTGGTTATGTTCACACTGCAGGTCTTGTTTCTCAATTGTGATTATTTTGCTAGGATCTGATTTATTAATTTTTTTGCCTGGTGGTTCATATCATAGTCTCAATGCGACCTCCATTGAACTACAGCTTTCGTAAGTGCAGACCTTGGCCCACTTCATGTCCACGGAGCTGGAAAAACATTGC